AGAACATCAAAACCCCCGCAGGATTGTCTAGGATCGTGTGTCCAATGAGTACTCCGCTAGTCAAGCTTGACCAGACTAGCATCTCCGGTTCCCTCCCCGGATGATGGATCCCAGCTCCACGTCTCACCAATCTATGACCTTCCCCAAGTCATCTCACTTCTGGGGCCTCAGAGTTCCCATCTGTAAAATGGGGAGGGGGGGAGACCTGTGGGAAAGCGCCCTTGTGCGCGTGCGCACATGGTGCTTGCTCTGGTTTTGCGTTCACAGACGTGAACGTCGACTGCCATGCTCAATTACCCTGCAAGGTCTCAACTCCAGTTCTGGGAGATGTTTTCTTTTCTCCTTCTGGCAGCTTCTTGGCATCCAGAGAGGCCTGTCTGTTGAGCTGTTTTGGAGCCTGAAGGAAAAAATAGACCCTCCACCTTTCCCAGACTCCTCCTATTATTTCCTCTTATTAAGCCTGGAATGGGCAAGGATGAGGGGCCGGGAAGCTGAGACACCAGCTCAAGGGGGCCAAGGGCCAATTGTTGTGACCCAAAGTTGGGCGGGCCCAATTCCCCAGGAGCCTTTTCTTCCTGACCCGGCTCACTGCACACCTCGGCAGACCTCCCTCCCCTGCACCCCCATCATCTCTGGCCCCGCCCTGCAGAGGCAACAGCAGCCACATAAACCCAAGCCTGCTCTGCTTTTTCTTATGCATTTTCTCCATCTCGGTGTTTTTCGTTTCCCTGGCTCAGCCAAGCAGCTTGGGAATACCTGTTTGCGTCTGAAATCAATCAGTGAAAATTCCAGCTGGCGCGGCAGGGAGGTGGGCGGTGAGGACCCCGTGCCCCCACGTTGGCGAGCTGGTGCTGGGACTATTTTTGGTGGGGCAGACTCAGCGCTGAAGCTGATGGTGTTACTGCATGGGGGGGGGGGGACCAGAGACATCAGGAAGGCTGTGTGGCCACTGCAGCCGGTCGGGTGGCCCTAGATTCTGTGCTTCAGAGCAATACTCCCAGGATTATAAAGTCTCTGCCTCAGGGGCTCCTTCAAGGCAAACCTCTGTAGCCCGTTTGCAAGGAATTTACAGCACCCAAAGGTGAACAAACCCGTTCCCCGCTCTCTCTCGGAGCTCAGCGTTGAGGGGGTGGCAGGTGACAAAGCTGACAATTATAACATGGTGAAATGTGCGCTATTATGAGAGAAGAAGTGAGGGAGCCTCTGACAGGGAACATTTGACATCATGAATCCTCACAGACAGACGCACAAGTGCCCCATATAAAACTGTGCACAGGAGCAGAGGGACAACAGCTTGTGCAAAGGGCTGGAGTTAGGGGAAAAAAACAAACACAAGGAACAAGCTTTTCTTATCCCTTTACAGCTCCTAGCTGTGTGTGTGATGTGCCAGCTAACTGAAAGGTTGTTGGTTCAAATCTACCAGCTGCTTGATGGGAGAAAAACGGACACTCTGCTCCTCTTAAGATTTACAGCCTCAGAAACCCAAGGGTGGTTTGTCAAGAATCAAATCAAGTCGAGACCAATGGGTTTGAATTTTCTTTCTCGGTTCTGAGAAATCAAGGTAGCCAGCAGCCGGTGAGTGAGCTCTAGCGGTCTAGTCATTTGACTCCTCAGGAGAAAGATGGGTAATTTCTTCCCGTGTGATTGACAGGCTTGGAAAAGACAATTGAAGGTCAGCTATGAGTCGGTTCTGACAGGATGGCAATGAGTGTTAGCTTCTGACTACACAGATGGCCGGAAGTGGCCACGCAATGCTCCATTCTCCACTAGATAGCTGGAGGGCTACAGGATAGTTGCTTTCCCTTCTCTGAGCCTCAGTTTCCCTATCTGTAAATGGTGATCACCCCAGCTTCCCTGGAGGACAGCTGTTTACCCTTGAGTTGGCACTAACTCATAGTTGACCCTCCAGCCAGTTTTCAAAGGCAGTTGAATGGCACGGGAGGGGACTGTCCATCCTTCTCCCATGGAGCAGCTAGTGGATTTGAACTGTGTGCCTTTGGTTTGGCAGCACAGCTCCTTAGAGCCTATGGGGTGCATGCCACGAGTCCAAGTGTGGACCTTGGTACCTGGCAGGTGCTGAGGCATGGTGCAGAGCAGTACTGTCCTCTGCTCACCTCCCTACGCCCAATCCGGGGCCTAAACTGAGTCTGCACTAGGAACTGACCACCTCGTGGGCATAACCTACTCTCTGGCCATCAAAGCCTCAGAATCTTCCCCGGCCTCCTTCTTTACAGGGACACTTAATGAGGGTTCTTTAAGGAACGGCCCACCTGGCATTCGGGATCCTGGGATCACACCCCAAAGCCCATCTCAATTGCACATATATCATTTTACTGAATCCATACAACCACTTCAGGATCCAGAGGGAGAAACTGTGGCCCAGAGGTAAAATAACTTACTTGCCCACACAGCTGAAGAGAACTGGGACCAAGACGTAATGCTAAGTTGTGATTTGCATATTTTCAAGTGTGGCCAGGAACACTGAACACCTGTACTTGTCACACACAAGCGCTGTTTTCCACACACCACACTTCTGATGTTGTTCCTGTTAGGTGCCACTGTGTCTGCGCATAGCAACCCCAGGTATAGCAGAACAGACGTTTCCCAATCCTAGAACATCTTCATCTCTACTGTGCTTAAACCCACTGCTGCAGTCACTGTCAACCCATTTCGATGAGGGTCCAAGCATGCGATCTCCTTTTCCAAGGACTGGCCCCTTCTGACAACATGCTCAAAGTATCTGAGACAAAGTCTTATCATCCTTGCTTCTAAGGTGCACTCCTGGCTGCCTTTCTCTTAAGATTTATCCTTGTTCTGTTGGTAATATTCTTCACCAACACCATGATTCAAAGGCAGTAATTCTTTTTCTATCCCCCTTATTCCTTGGCCAAGTATCACATGCACACACAAGAGAAAATATCATGGCTTGGGGTGAGTGCACCTTAGTCTTTAAGGTGACAACCTTGCTCTTTTACACTTCACACAGGTCCTTGGCAACAGAGTGCCTGCTGCAATACGCCGTCTGAATTTTCTGATTGTTGCTTCTAAACACAGCAGTAGCACAGGGCTTTGAACCCCTTCAAACCAGGGTAGTCATCATAAATGAGGAGGCAAACTTGGAACAGATCCAAATTTGTGAAGTTTGGGTGAAGATCAAAAATTATGAGTTGAAACCACAGAAAGGGACACCTGGAAGCAGCATAGTGAGCATTTTCAGGAGCCTTTAACAAAGATCAAGCTACTGCTAGGACTACAGAACTCAACACACATTCAAGCCCATGCATCTGACCACCATCTTTGAAATAGGGACTGTTAATTCTAACCCAGCCAGTCAAGAGATTGGTTAGAATGTGCACCTTCCCTCTATTTTAAAGAGTCAAGTGTCTAGCAGGGCAACAACAGTAATACTCCCCATTCCAATTATTGTTCCAGTTCACCCACATTTTACAAAGTCGAGTTCATTAGGTTTCGAGTCATTGGTCCTAAGTGGTCCAGGAAGAACAGGCTAAAGCCTTGAGGCAGCAGTGGGAGGTCACCAGAGAAATAAAAACAGAAACAAACAAAAGGGGGGGGAGAAGTCAAAGAAATGACAAAGGGAAGCCCTGTCCTCTCTCAAGCCAGTCTTAGGTTTTCAACTGGACTTTTATCAAACTTTAAAATAACTATTCACATGGTTCAAACAGAAAAATTAAAAAGTTTACAGTGAAAAGCTCACTCTCTCTCTCTTCCCTCCATCCCTCTCACCATCTGTCCCAATAAGTACCCATTATCCTTCATTTCTGTGTATCCTTCCTGAGTCTTCAGGGCAAATAAAGCAATTATGTACACTTAAAACACTCTCCTTCCTGATTTTGTTTGTCTTTTTTTTTTCCCCATCCAAGAGAGTACCATTTATATATTCAGCGCTACATCTTTTTTTCTTTTCCACCAGTTGGCAATATTTCTCTATTTGTACATAGGCAAGTACACCAGTTTCTAAGGACTATGGTTTTCATCCAATACTCCCCAAAAAAGTGTTTAGGTTGTTGAGTCTGGAAGGTGGTACCTAGGAGACCTCCGCCCCCCACTCAGAACTGCACGGCTTGGTGGCTGCACAAAACTAGCAGCTGCCAGAAGCCAGCTCTCCCAGAAATAACATCTGCACCTTCCACTTCTGGAGCACAAAACAGGCTCTAGCTGCGTCTCAGAGAGGGAAAGAGACTCGCCCAAGGTCACACAGCCAGAAAGTAGTGCTGGCCAGGGTGCAAACCTAGTGAGCTGGTAGCCAAAGTACCCATCAACCTAGCCTCCTCCAGTCTTACTTAGCTCCACACCCTCTTAAGAGCAGGGGCTCCGAGGTCAGGACCCTGGGTCAAGTTCCCAAACGGCCGCATAGCCGCGTCACTTCCCTGCGGGCTGGCTGCTTGGCCCCGCAGCAGGGCCTCCCCGTGCGCCCCGCCCCGGATGCGGACTCGCAGCCTCTGCAGGTCCGGGGACCCGGCGAGCCCAGAGAGGGTCGTGGAGGCGAGAGCACGATGCCACGTGCTCTGCGGACGCCGTCTCACTGGAGAAGGCTCCCAAGTGCACCCATTCTACAGATGCAAAGATCCTGAGCCACAGACACCCGGGCTCGGGCGCATAAGGTCACCCAGCTGGGGAGCGGGAAAGCCCGGCTGGTTCCCAATTCTGGCGACTTGGAAACTTTCGGGCCCGCTCGGCTCCAGGCTGAGCGGCTCCAGGTGCGGGGCGTGCACACCTGCCGAGAGAACATGCGTCCATATCCCCGCCCAAGCGCTACAACCTCCCGGCCCCGCAGTCGCAGTCGAAGGACCCAGCCAACTCCGAGCGCCCCGGGTTGGAGTGGCGGCGGACACCTACTCAGCAAGGCGCTGCAGCTTGCCAAGTGGCCGCGGGGACCCATTCCCAGGAGGGGGAGACTGAGGCGCAGCGGGCCAGCAGTTGGCCAAGGTGACACAGTGCGGCGCGCGAAGGGGGGAACGGGGACGCCGCGGGGTACTCACAGCCGGTCTTGCCCTCGAGCTCGCGCACCTCCTCGGACGCGGAGTGGGCAGCGCCCATGGTGCCCGCGGTGGGCTCTGGGCGCGCGCCCCTCGCAGGCGCCTCGGCTGCGCAGCGGCGGGTCCAGCCTCCGCTCCAGCCGCTCCGGGCACGGGGACAACCTGGAGCCGCGGTTCCGCGTGGGGCCCGAGCACGGCCTCATATAGCGGCGGAGGGCGGCGCGCCGCGGTCCTAGCGCACGTCGGCTTCGCGCACTGCAGGGGCGAGGTACGCACCCGCCCTGGGGCGGAAACCAGGAGAGAGAGGGAGGCTTGGAGGAGGGGAGAGGAAGGAGGGGGACAGAAAGAGGGTATCAAGCGCCCACCTTTTAAGTAGCACCTCGCCCCTTTCACACCACTGTTGAAGCTGCAAAGATGTAGGTGTGATCCCAGAGCAGGCGAGCTAGCAAGCGAGGAGGAGGGGCGTCAGGGAAATTCAAACCCACCCCTTTCCCTTATACCCCCTACCTCTGTCCACCAGAAGTTAGGAAGGGAGGCTCCCTTGGGATCGGGAAAGTGGCCTGGAGCATGAATTAGCTTTATGGAGAACAATAACAATGGCAATAGTAATAATAATTAGCCACAATGTGCATCAGTGCTTTCCTCAATTTATTCTAGCCAAACTAGGTGGACACGCAGCCCACGCGTGGCCCCGAACAACTGCAGACAATTTTATGAGACGCCCAGGACACGGAAAGTGAGGATGCGTCAAGGGCTGGTGGTCGCTGCAGAATCCTTGTCACTTACGAATAAGAATTCAGTGCTTAGAGGGAACCGCCCACCTGGCACAGGTGTTTCTCTTCCCAAGGTCTTCGTGCTCTTAGTACTGGGTCACCACTGCCATGACAGTGACCATCAGGGATCTGGAGTCTCTCCTGGTCACCAGGCTCTGTGATAGGATCCCGGGGTCCTTGGGAACATGCAGACAGGGATGTGGGTGCCTTACCTGCATGAGCTTCCCAGGGCCCTGTGGGGAGATGCTGAGCCCCTTTCAGGGCCAGCGGGGGAGGGGGGGGGTGCCAAAACTAACCAACCTACCCTGTCCTCCTGACAAGGCAGCTGCACCGTCTGAATTAATTTGTTTTCAAAGGAAAGGATTCTAGAAGCCCAGAGTAGATGCTAGGGTCAAGAATGTGGTTTAAAATGGGTGACCCTGGAGGACATTATGCTGAGTGAAATATCTCAGGCCCCAAAGGACAAATACTGCATAGTGCCACTGTTGTAAAACCGGACTGACATAAAGGTTGGGGGGGAGACTGAGATAAGATGGGATAAATTATGTACACTACATTGAAACAGATGAGAGAGACCTGTTTAAAAGATATATATTAGGTATTATTGTCATGACAGGAGTCCAGAACAAAGGCAGCATAGTGGAGTGGACTTGGAGGGAGGGATTGTATACAGTGAAATAATTTTTCTTTTACTTTTCAAAGAGAAGAACGAACTGGAGGGGAGGGGTGGGCAGGGAGAAAAGTGCAATAATGAATTAATGGAAATCCAAAATCTCTGTAACTTTTCATTAAAATGAAATAATAATAAGAGATCAAAAAAAGAAAAATATTTAAAAGTTTTGTTTATAGATGCTGATACATTAAACACTTATGAAGGGGGTGGGGGAGGAAAGAATGTAGTTTGAAGGGAGCTCTGGTGGCCTAGTAGCAAAGAAGCTGCACTGCAATCCCGAAGGTACACGGTTTGAATCCACCAGATGCTCTGCTGGAGAAGCAGGGGCAAACTCCTGTGCCAGTCTGATCTGATTCGACAGTATGCAACAAGTAAAAAAAAAAAAAAAAAAGAATGAGGTTTGAGAGGCAGGGAAGCCCAGCACAAGGCACTCATAGCTACCCCTCCAGTGGGTTCCAGAGGCTGTAAATCACATGCAGGGAGAGAGCCCATCTCACTGGCGGATTCGAACCACTCGAGGTGCAGCCTTTAACAGCCGAACTCTCCTGCACCGTCAGAGTTCCCTCAGAACAGCCGAGTCAGCCCATTATTCACCACGGCTGGGAACGATTTTGCTGCTACTCAAAATATCGCTTTTTTTGAACTTCACTCCATTAAATGATTTAGGATTCAATCTATAGCCAGTGGTGTTTTCCTCTGGGGAGACAGGCAACTGCCTTCTCCTATCTGTACCCTTTGCCCTTTGACACAGTGGCTCCCAGAACTGGGGACAGGGAAGGAAGGTAGGGGGCACAGTTCTGGGGTCCTGTTGAGCCATGACAGGGACATGTGGCTGGCCTCCTGCTCCTGGAGTGGCCGTGGGGAAGCCTCCCAGAGTTTAAGTAAGGTGAAGGGAGCCAGTTCATTCATCACCTGCCTGCTTTGCTCTGCCTACTTCATGCCACCCGGTCTCTGTCGGCTCTGACACGCTCTGAGCACCCTCAGCATTTTCCCCCTTCTGCTCCCTCTTCCAGGCCCAGCACGGTGTAAATATCACCTCCTCTGCTTTCCTAGACTCTGTTGTTGTTGTTGTTGTTGTTGTTGTGAGACGCCATCAGGCAGCTCCCACTCATTGTTGTTATGTGACATCAAGTCAGGGCTCATTGGAACCCTACAAACAACAGGTCAGAGCCTCCTCCTGTCCTGAACCGTCCTCACAGCTGTGCCCACGCCCATTGCGGCAGTCACTGTCAGTCCATTTCGTTGAATGTCGTCTTCTCCTTTGCTGGCCACCTACTTTTCCAAACATGCTGTCTTTCCCCAGGGATGAGCCCCTCCTGAGAACATGCCCCCCCAAAAAATACATGAGACAAAGTCACACCCCCCTTGCCTCTAAGGGGCACTCCGGCCGCACCTTTTCCTAGGCTCCAGTTCCAAGCAGAACATCTTGCAGAGAACTGGGAGAGGGGGTGGCTGGGATGTGAGGTTCCTATCCCCAAGGGGAGGACGTGTGGTAACAATAGGAAGTAGAAGAATCAAGGTGATATTTGTTCATTCCACACAAATTGAGGACCTACTATGTTCAGAAGGCGCTCACGTGCCATGGCGAATTAAATGTTGGGCTCAAAGCCAAAGGAGGACTGTCATGAGTTTGGCACCAACTCGATGGTCGTGGGCTTGATTTTTACTAACTGGTGATGCAGTGCTTAAGGCACTTAACCGAAAGGTTGGCGGTTCGAAGCCATGAGCTTCTCTAAGGAGGAAAGGTGCGACAGTCTGCTTTCAAGATTACAGCCTTAGAAGCTGTCTAGGGCAGTTCCACTCTGCCCTGCCTGGTTGTGGCGAGTCATTCAATTCAATGACAGTGGGTTTGACTCTGTGGACTGTGTTCAGGGGTCTGGCTAGATCCAGGGGCCACAACCAGGAAGGACACAGCCTTTGCTCCCAAAGCACTCTGGGGTGGGTGGAGGGGACCGGCAAACAAGACATTGACAAGACCACATGCTACAGCAGGGTAAAACAGACTGACACCACCTGCAAAATTCCAGCCAGAGATGCTTTACACTGAGCTTCAGGGAGTCTGGGACTCTCCCCAGTCGTGGCCCCAAGGGTCACGCCACAGCCCAACACTGGTCGATGTGTCCGTGAGGCCCTGGTCTCTGCCGGCCCTGTTGTTGCCTGCTTGCTGTGCCTTCCCGGCGGGGCTCTGTCCACACAAAGCCCGTGCGGCCTCCTGCAGGACGTCACGGCTCTAATTCAATCCTACAAATGACTCCGTCAGCGTCAATAGAGCAAGAGTGAGGTCTGCAGCCTCGCATGGGGCCTGGTGGGCCTGATTAGCTCTGTTGTCTGGAGCCGAAGAAGAGGGGCACCCGCGTGGCTGTCTTTATCCTCCCGTAACTCAGCGTGACCTTTGGAGGACTGGGAAACAAGTTGGTCACCAGGCAACTGCCTCCTGTCTACCCAGGACCTCCTCCCGGAGGAGCTGATTAAAAGCCGGGGAACAGCGGGGACCTGAGAGGCCACCGTGGGCACCTGAGTCAGAACCCGCTCTGCTCTGTGCCCCCCCATTGTCCCCGGGAAATGAATGATTGTGTTTTTATACAAGGCAGGCACGCATTATACAATTTTTGCTTACTGTACAAGCCCCTCCCTGTGTTAACTCCCCATCAGTGTGTGCGTTGTTGTTGTTATGGGCTGTTGAGTCAACTGTGACTCATAATGATCCCATGAACAATGACCAGCTCAAACACACCTGTCCCCCTTGCCAGGGTCATTGTGTCAGTCTATCTTGTCGAGGGTCTTCCTCTCCTGTGCTGACCCTCTACCCTTCCAAGCATGCTGTCCTTCTCCAAAGACTGGCCCCTCCTGACAACATCCCCAAAGTGTGTGAGGCAGAGTTTCAAAATCCTTGCCTCCAGGGAGCAACCTGGTTTCGCTCTCTCTGGGATAGACCTGTTTTCAATGAAAACAATGTTGTTTACAATGTGAATGTGTACAGATAACATGTGTACACCTTCACATATTGTTCACATGGGTATGTTCTATGGGGAATTATGGTAAGCTCACTGGGCCTCAGTTTCCCTGTCTGTAAAATGGCAATCATTATTTTCCTTCTTCATAGGGTACTTGTGAGGACTAAGTGTGGATTAAGGTACAAGTGTTTGAGACAGTGCCTGACATGGCAAATGCTACCCACTGGTGTGCTGATAAGCTATCAGTCCTTTCAAGAAAAGGATTGAGAAGGGAGCTCCGGTGGTCTAGTGGCAAGAAGCTGCACTGCCATCTCCAAGGCACATGTGGTTCAAATTCACCAGCTGCTCTGCTGGAGAAGGAGGGGCAATCTCCTCCTGTGCCAGTCAGATCCGATTCAATGGTGCACAATAAGGGAAAACAATGGAAAGGACTGAAAATTAGTTTGATTTCTAGCATTTGCCAATCATTGTGATTGACAGTGATTATAGCAAAGGGCTTGAGTGTATCAGAGATGAGGACGACACTGGAATAGGGCACAGGGTCGCTTTGAGTTATAGTTGGCTAACCATAGCAATAGGGTGTGAAAAAGGAGCTCTGGTGGCGCAGCGCACAAGGTGCTGCATTGCTAACTCAAAGGTCAGCAGTTCGACCTCACCAGCTGCCCCTCGGGAAAGATGGGGGCATGTCTTGTCCCGTGAAAATGTACAGCATTGGAAACTGAATGGACTGGACAGCACTGAGTTAGGTTTGGTTTATGATGTAAATGCCCTGGTGTCCGCCCTGGTCAAACTTGCTGTGTTAGGTG